CCAGCCTGTTGCACTGCATGGGATTGCTGTGACCCAAGTGCAGAACCTGGTACTTTGCCTTGTTGAACCTCACACAATTGGCCTCAGCCCACTGATCCAGCCTGTCCAGATCCTTCTGCAGAGCCTTCCTTCCCTCCAGCAATCAACACTCCAGCCCAACTTGGTGTCAACTGCAAATTTACTGAGGGTGCACTCGATCCTCTCAACCAGATTACTGATAAACAGAACCAGCCCCAATACTTAACCCTGGGGAACATCACTAGTGACCAGCCACCAGTGGGATTTAACTCCATTCACCACCACTCTCTGGGCCTGGCCATCCAGCCAGTTTTCTACCCAGCCAACAGTGTACCCATCTAAGCCATGAGTAGCCAGTTTCTCCAGGAGAATGTTGTGGGAGACAGCGTTAAAGCCTTTATTAAAGTTCAGGTAGACAACATCTATAGGCTTTCTCTCATCCACTAGGCAGGTCACCCTGCCATAGGGAGATCAGGTTGATCAAGCAGGACCTGCCTTTCATAGCCCCATGCTGGCTGGGCCTGATCACCTGGTTGTCCTGTACATGCCACATGACAGCACTCAAGATGATCTGCTCCATGACCTTCCCCAGCACCAAGGTCAGGTTGACAGGCCTGAAGTTCCCCAGATACTTCATCTGACCGTTCTTGTAGGTGGCTAGCCAGGACTGCTCATAAATGATTGAAAGGGACTTGGTGAGCACTTCTGTCAGCTCCCTCAGTACCCTTGGGTGGATCCCATCCAGGCCCATGGACTTGTGTGTGTCTAAGTGGTGTAGCAGTTTGCTGACCATTTGCCCTTGGATTATGTGGGCTTCATTCTGCTTCTTGTCCCCGTTTTCCAGCTCAGGGGGTTGGGTACCCTGAGAACAACCAGTCTTGTTATTAAAGACTGAGGCAAAGGCAGCATTAAGTACCTCAGCCTTTTCCTCATCCTTTGTCACTATATTTCCCCACACACCCAATTAAGGATATTCTCCTTGTCCCTCCTTTTGCTGCTGATATATTTATAGAAACATTTTTTATTCTCTTTTATGGCAGTAGCCAGATTAAGTTTTAGCTGGGCTTTGGTCCTTCTAATTTCCTCCCAACATTCTTGTAGTCCTCCAAGTTGCCTACCCCTTCTTCCAAAGTTAATACACTCTTTTTTTTCCTGAGTTCCAGCCAAAGTTCTTCGTTCAGCCAGGTCTGTGGTCTTCCCCACCGGCTTGTCTTTCAGCACATGGGGACAGCCTGCTCCTGCACCTTTAGGATTTCCTTCTTGAACAATGTCCAACCTTCCTGGGCCCCTTTGCCCTTCAGGACTGCCTCCCAAGGGACTCCATCAACCAGTTTCCTAAACATGTTAGTGTCTACAGCACCAAGATTGAAATACTCATTAGCAGGGGTTTTCCCCGTCAGTGAACATCATATTTTCACCACAGTGTCAATACCATTTCTGCTATTTTCAGTGCATATAATTTCTTAAAATTATATTGTTCTACAGTGAAGCAATAACACAATGGTCCAGCAAATATTCCCCTAGAAAGCAACCAGTAAGATAACCCTGAGCAGGTAGTTTAAAATAGAGAGAGAGAGAACGTTCCACAAATATCAGCTGACCCCTAGATTACTACACACATTGCATTAAACATTTTGGAAAAAGGGTTCTGTAGTGATTACCAGCCATCTATTTACTTGCAGCTGAAGTGCTTTATTCCACATTTGACTATTCTGTGTAACAGAAAAGAAAGACTACCAGATAAAATGACAGGAAGATTTTTATTATTATTTTTACTAATATCCAAAGAAAGGAGGTCATGCATCCCTGAAATACTGAGAAGTAAATTACACAACTTTATACAATTCCCTGCAGATTTCAAGGGTTTTGTCATGGTTTAGGACTGGCAGTCCCTAATTTAGTGCCCCCTCCCGTCCACTTGCTCTCCTCCCTCTGGTGGGAGATACAAAAGGCAGAGATTACTGGTTGAGATAAAACAATTTACTGGAAACAGCAATGAGATAAGAAAATCAACAGTAATAGTAACATTATTAATAACAAAAGTGTCCAAACAGAGAGTGATTTATATGCAAAAAAAGTGTTCACTGAACGACTTGGCACCTTGCAACCCCTGCGACAAATGGCAGGAGGGACCCTCCATCATCTTTTTTGCCCCCTCCTTCCCAGAAGCTAGAGTCCCTTACTTCAGTACACACACACCCCCCAGTGTCATGAGGTGGTATAGAATAACCTCCTAGCCACACCCACACGGCTCTCGGCTTTGCCCCTTCACAGCTACTGCAAAAAGTTAACTCTGTCCTGGTCAAAAAACAGGACAGGTTTGCATTATAAAATGTAATTAGATATTTCCTGACACAGAATACACACACTTGTAATATAGTGATACTGAAGTCAACCAGTTTATCACAGACAGTTGAAAACACTTCATTAAGATACTTTTCTCACATTAATGTACAGTCTAAAATACTTGGTAGAGAGATATAGTAATACTACGTACACTAGAGCATGGTGCTAATAACACCAAGGTTGTGGTTTTGATCCCCATGTGGGTCATTCACTTAAGAGTTGGACTCGATCCTTGTGGGTCCCTTCCAACTCAGAGTATTCTGTGATTCTGTGATTCTTCAGTCAGATAGGTCAGTGTTTTGGCTTAAGACATATGATATTCATGTAGAGACCAACAGCATATTGTTCATAAGGTTACGAAATAAAAAACAGACTGCATTTGAAATTAACCTATAGGTTAATTTCCAGCAATTTTAAGAAGTTCTACCTTTATAATTTCAGTATAAAGGATTATTTTATAAAACAAATAACTGAAATATTTACATTCCATCAACAGTGCTAACATACAAAAAAATTGTAGCTATGAACTGTACCACACCCTCCCCACAAGGCTACCTCTCTGCATATGCCATTTGGTATTTGCTGATTCACAGACACAACTGAGTCATTCTTGCAACCCTTTGGAAGCTACACGTCTTTGCATCTTTCCACTCCTTCACGATGCAGATCTGGAGACAATGAAGTTGGATGTGCCTGTCTTTGAATGCCTCATTACTGGATATTCCAAAGAAAAGAGCCCTTTGAAGGCAGAGATTTTCACCAATCAGACATTACTTAAGTACATTAGTTCTGCTATGCACTTCATCAATTTAACTCATTTAATACCCACTTCCCCACACAATCTGCACTGTACCTAAGTTACTCATTTTCATTCCTCTTCCTCTAAGAAGAAACAAGCCTCTTTCCGCTCCAACTCATGAAAATCCAAACCAACTACACATCCCTTAATTTTAAATAAAATCCTGTCATGGGTTGAAATTGGCCCCCCCTTGAGAGAGAGGGGGCTCAGAGGTGATTGGATGCTAGGGCAGTGTTCCCTGGAGAGCCAATCACCATCCATGTTGTTCGCTTCTGCTCAAAATCATATATACACAGCACCAGAAACTGTTGGCAGTCTTGGTGTCTTGCTGTTGGTGTCTGCTGCGTGTAGGTGGAGAAGGCCAGGGGGTGGCTGGACTCCTTCTCCCCCCTCCGGGGGAGAGAGGGGAGCCCTGCGGCCCCACTGACTCTGCCTGGGCCGGAGTTGGAGGCAGCATTTGGAGTGTGTGCTGTGAAGGAAGAAATTCGCAGCACCTGAGGTAAGAGGAGAGGCAAGCTTTGCAGCCAAGCCCTCTTCCCCCTCCTTTCTGCAGTTAAAGCTGTGGAGGGGGGCTTTTCTTTCCCTCCACTGTGAAGTGGAGGAGAGGCTCAGCATTGGGGCTGAGCCAAGAGATGGGCTGGAGGAGGAGGCCCGGCACTCAGGAGAAGAATCCCAGGCGAAATTGGAGACGGGCCAAGAGCTCGGGAGTTGCCTGCCGAAGCTGACCAGGGGCAGCCGAAAACTGACTTGGAGGACGCTTGATAAGCTGAACTACACTGCGGCAGCCTACCAACCGAGGTATGAGATTGAGAGGGAGAGATCACACAGCAGATCAAGGAGCAAGGACTCAAAGCTACTTTCTTGGACTTCGTGAGGAGAAAGATTGCAACAAACAGGCGGAGCTAGCTGAGGGGGGAGCGTTCGGGCCCAGAACACTCCCACGAGAGAGAGAGAGACTGGTTACATATCAGCCTTGAAAGGCTCTTCCTGGACTAAAGTTAAAGGGAGGGGCTAAAAGGACTGACAGAAATGTAAATATATATATATAGTTGCTTTTAGTTTGTACAGTATATTTATTTGTGTAAATAAATGTATATGCTTTCCCCTTCCCCTGTAGAAGCCTCTGGCCTGAAAGTTTCTCTCTGGTGTCAGGATAAATTGTGGGAAGGGGTGGGGGGAAGCCTGGAAATTGGATTTTGGATTTCTAATGTGGCTCAACTGCCACAAATCCATTATCAACACCTTTCCTACCTCTTCTATAGGATAGGATCAGAGTTGTACCTAAGACTCTGCAGTATTCTTTTTCCACAGTTCTTCTCATCAAACCCTCTATACCGGATTCCTTCTGTTACCAAAAAGCCTGTAAGGTGGCTTGTACTTTCTCTGATTGGCTACCGAAAACAGAAGGCAAGCCTGACAACCAGATTCACCCCAAAGAAACAGCACAAGTACACATCAAATTCTTTCCCGAGAGCTCTACAGATGGAATCTTGTACTCTCCTGCTGCCAAGGTACATCCTGTGGAGCCCAGCACGCTCCCACTGGCATGAGTTGATCTGGGAAAACAGCTCTCCATAGCCAGAGCACACCAGCCTGCTACACAGGAAATTACCATAAAAGTGATCTGTGTCAATTCTTTTAAGTTGTTCTGACACCAAGACATGACAAGGGGTAAGGGAGAGGAATGTACCTAAATTAAATGTGGCTGAAATGCTTATGAAATCAAAGGATAACCAACAAATGCTTAAAAAGAAGTGTTTAAAGAAGTAAATAGGAGAGTCCCATTTCAGGATATGAAATCATTGGTGCTAGTCCTGCACCAGTGCTACCATCTCACCTCTCACATGGCCACGTTTCCCACGGTCTGAAGGCCTGTCTCCTTGATTGTTGCCCACTCCATTCTCTTCAGCTTTAACTGCGGAGAGAGGACAGCTTAAGAGACTTATACATGAGACAGTATAGCCATCTGCTTAACCTTAATCTCAAAAGAAAAGGCAAGATTTTAAAGTCAGCTGGTTAATACATCTCAGTCACCCTTCTTCTTTGGAGCCTAGCTACAAGCAAGTTACGTTTACCTTGCACTAGACAATTAGGAAGTGTAAGTGTAGAAGACCCTTCTGGAAGAGTTATTACAAGGAGATGAGGATTTATTTCTCTTAAGAAAGCTTTCCTGCCTAGAAAGAGGCATCTATCCCAGAGACAGTTTTAGATGTTTTCTCCTCCCACATTCTAGAGAAGCTGACTCCCTGGGTACAAGAGAAGATGAGTTCTTGCAGACATGTCTGAAGACCCCATGGCGAGGGGGGCCAGGGACGATAAAAGCCAAAGAAGAACAGGGGGTGTGTCTTTCTTAGGCCTGGTGCAGTTTTTGTACCAAGTTGTTAAGTGTTCTTGACTTTGGAAATAAATTCTCCTAAATCCTTCCACTGCCTGGTATTTTGGGGGTACCTGCATGCATTTAACCTTTACAGGAAGCAAAATATCTAATAAGAGGGAAATGCCCCTCAGCAGATGCACTTCATTTGGGTTGGGTTTTTGGGGGGGAGAAAGGCAGTGTTTTGCAGCCTACACTAATAATTATGGTCTCACCTCTTTAATGAGGTAGGAAATAAAGCTGCCTCATACTATGCTTTCTCAATAACAGGCTGAGTGGCAACAGTGAAAGAATAACCAAGAACACCAACTCTTCTGTCTGCCAATACCACATATCCCTGTACAACCAGGGAAACTCAAAAGAACTCTCCTCTGTATTTAAATCAGAGGGATAACAACAGAGTGAAGATGAGGCATTAGAAAAGCACTGCACCTTAACTATTTAATGGAAAACTCCCGAGGAAGTACTCCAAAAGATGACTGGCTCTTTGAGGGAAAAAAAAGACTGGCCACTTGAAATTTTGCCCTGCACAACTTTTCCTAATGGCAGCAACAAAACCATTAATGCCCGGACTGGGAAGAGATATCAAGATTTGGTAACAACCTGAAAAAAATCTTTAATTCCAGTTTACAAAAAGAGACAAGCAGCATCTAGCTCTGGAAAAAATTTTGCCCCTCACTTTTATTTTGATGGATCTGATTTCAATGTTTCTAAGCATAGTTGTAAGTTTTATTACTATTTTTTCCTATCTTTGTCATTATTCTACAAAGATTCACAATGTCTGCACTGGCACAATACTTGAAGATTTTCCAATAATTAATTAGAAGAATTGGCTAATATTGTAAATATTTTTCCTGCTTTTAAGTGAAAAGTTAAACATATTTTTTTTATTCTGGTTTCTCTGCTCATCTATCAGTGTTGTGTATGGCCCTTACAGGCAATGTATATAGATAGCTTTGATACTGCTGATAAAACTTAAGCGAAAAAAGCAATGTGCATCCAATGGCGATCTAATGTGATGCTACCTACCTTGGAAACATCAGTTTTCTTTTGTACAACGCATTATTGCACCTGTATAAGCTGTAGAAAAAATTTAAATGTTTCAATCCACAAAGAACTTTCTGTGTTGTAGAAACTCACCTTTGGTTGGCTTATGAGTAACATATGCTAGAGAGTAATAATGATCCCAGTCTTTTCATTCCCCTTATAAAAAGATGAGAACATCTTCAGGTTCTCCCACTCATAAAAGGAGATGTAATCAAAGCTGGATAATTTTTTCATTAAAAGAAAAAAAAGTGTATCAGCTGTGCAGCAACATATTTGCTTTTCAAGCAGTCTTACAAAGAGTCAATTATAAAACTTAGAAAAAGAACAGCAATTTGTACAAGATCAATCAATCAAAAAAGGACAGAAATTTAAATTGAGTGTCTCTGAATAAACACAGACCATCCCAAAACCAAGTCACATTGACACATTGAGCATACCTGTTGCATAAACAGGTTATGATCCCTTTCAGTGCTGAGCTATAGCTTGGACAGACTTTATTCCATTAAGCATTTGCTCCTTACTCAGCCAGTTTCAGCTGCAAAAAAAGTTTCTGAATCTTTAAAAATGAACCCCTGTACGTACACTCTCGGCCACGGCTGCCTCCTCTTCCCCGTCTGTTGGAACTTCCCCATCTGCGGCTCATTTCTCTGTCCCCTCGTTTCTCTCTGTTCTCTTTGTTTTCCAAACCTTCCTTTCCAAGGCTTTTCTTCTTTCCCCCTACAGTCTCCCAAGAAGTCTATTTGGATAGAAGTAGATACAAAAATCAAAAAGGAAGAGACAGCTCTCAGTGCATACTTCTACCTCACACCCCTCCAGCTCATGGGAAAAAAACAGATATTTGCATAACATCACATATGTAAAACTTGCAAGCTACATTCACACAAATAGAAACATAAGCTGTATTTTTGGAAAGAGATGAAAAAAACCAAGTTTTAAAAGTTGGATTTTCTTATGGAATGTGAGAATCTCAAATATTTCTGGCTATAATGGCCTTTTACTAGTTCAAGGAAGCCTAGATACCACCACAACACAGAAAATCTGCAAAGCAAGCAACAGTTTCCCTCTCAACTACCTCCATAAATCTAGCAAGGGAGCATGTACAGATCTATCCTTTTCTCCAAAGGAAATGAAAAAATTATTATAAGCATCATTGAACAAGAGACTACTGAGAGTAAGTACATGGCTCGGGGGTAACCATTATCCAGATGTACTAGAATTCAAGTACCAAGAGATAGAATGACAAAACAATAACTTGGGAAGACTGGAGCTTTAGCTTTAATAATAAACTCCATCTTTAAAATAAATTCAGGGATCATATCAGCTCTATAGAAGTTGAAAATAAAACAACTAAAACACTCTCCAAGAATAGCACAGCAACTCATATTATACAATTGCATGGTTAGTCTATTGAGCCATTAGATGCAAAGGAAAGAAGAAAGGTATTATTTGCAAACCATTAAGATGGCAGATAGGTTTATGTATATGTCCCCATCTCTAGGAGTTTATAGTCTAGGTAAGATATTTGAGTGGTAAATTTGCATACACAAATGAGGTGGCACTACATAAAACCATAACCTCTGCCAGGCACCTGCAACCAACAAAAAAGGTTAGCTATCAATACTTTCAGGTTCTGTCCTATCTCAGAAAATCACAGAATATCCTGAGTTGGAAGGGACTCACAAGGACCATCGAGTCCAACTCTTAAATGAACGGCCCATACAGGGGTTGAACCCACAACCTTGGCATTATTAGCACCATGCTCTAACCAACTGACCTAATCTCAGGGTCAAGGTGAAGCGCGGACAGCACAGATTAGAAGTAGAAAACTACATATTTGAGCCACACCACGTTATTTGTGAGGCAGAAAACTGTTTCCCCAGTAACTATGTAACTGTATTACACACTAAAACACTTCTAAAGTTTTAGACATTTCACAGAAGAAAAAAAAAATACCTGCACTGACAACTGAAGAACCAAGTTATATAGTTCAGAATGCACTACTATTTCACTGATGGGCATGATGCCAAAAGATCTTCAACCATTTTAAGAAATACCCAAAACTGGATGAGTCTACAAAGCTTAAGAGGAAGCAGTCTCTCCTTAGTAAGGTTTTACATGATTTGGGAAGGATCAGTAAAAGAATGTCTATGAAAGCATTGGATCCACACTTTCCCAAAATATAATTTTGAGGAAAACCTCAAAAAGTTGGTCATGTCCTTTGAGATACATTATGGTGCTACCTTTGGGCACAGAAATCCATCATAGACTATTGAAGCCATCTCTTTTTGTAAGGGAGTTAACTGATTACAATTTCAGCTGAGGATGCCTGAGGCAACCCAAATGACAACTGTGGGCCTGACCTTCAAAAATATGTAACAGAAGCCTTCTTGCTGACCTGATCTTAGATGGAAAGAAGAATAATCTGAAAGGTCCCTTTTGTTCTATCTTGAAAGGTTTAGGAAGTAACACATGGTCAGGCATAAAATGGATCTTATACCTGTAGGAAGTTAAATGAATAGAAGTCTTGGCCAAAGAAACACGCCCTACTCTACTCTCATCCGCAAGCCTCTGTCTATCCAAAGCCAGACTGACACAACTGTTGCAAGTCTTCACAAAGACTAACAGTCACACAGCATAAAACCTTAAAGATCACAGCATTAAAAAAAAAAACCCAAAAACAAAACTGGTAGAGTACCAAAGAAATTATAAATAGACATTCTAGCTACCACTCCTTGTTCTTTTAATTCCTCAATTTGGATAGACTCTTTTTCTTCCAAATGAGGTAAAAAAACCTTCTAGAATATCAAAGTAGAGTGAAACTAGAAAAAGAGATTTGAGAATCTGCATTCAGAACTAGTACCACCTCTGCTTTCAACCTTACATCAAATCCACAGTTAAAATGTTCTGGAGTATAATGGTCTTCAAGTTAGAGGCCCACAAATTTGCATAAAGAAGAATAAATTTATTCACGCTCTGATGTGGACCCCTTCTAATTAATACTCCTTCCTTCTTGAGCCTTTCAAGTTCTCTGTATTTGTTCGAGTTGCATTTTGTCTACAAAGCGCAGTGGGTTCAGAGGGACTTGTCAAAAGAGCAGAACATATTGATATGTCCCTTCTAATTGATGAGTTCAGGAAGTTTCTTCCCTGTCATTGCTTAGAAAAAAATTGCTGAAGAAAGCATTTAAAACTCTCTATCAATCAGAAAACTATTTTAACTAGAAAATGGCAAATACAAAAAGTACAAGAGAACACAAAACCATCACCTTACCAACACAGATTTAATCAAGATGAGATGCTCTCTTCTATTCCCAACTTACCAATTTGTTCAGTATCATATATTACTGTGTTCTAGATGATCTCACCTCCGATAAATGAAAAGGGGATAGGAAAGAAAGTCCCCTCAGTCAGAACACTATATGTTCTAGATTTAAGGTGTGTGGGGGTAGGTTTCCTCAATAACAATAAGACAGACTACACATCCTAACAAATCACAGGAACTATTGAATATTCAACATTAAGAAAGGAAATCCAGGTTTCTTTCCCAATTTAGATGAGATGGAATCTAGTATACTGTCTTGGACAAACTGTAAGAAGTCCCTCCAGCAAAAGCTTCAACTGCAGCAAGATATTTTCCTGGTATCTCTTGGGATAGAAAATTGCTCAGTGCAACATTCTAAGTGACATTATTTGTTGGTATATACACATTGTTTAGTCTCCTCTTTCTGGTTTTGAATGAAGTCATGCAAATGAGCAACAGTGAATGGATACTTGTATCCTCTTCTGCTATTAGTAGCATTGTCAATGCAACTTTCAGATGTGGAAACCTCCTCCAACTTCAATACTGGCAATGCATACCTACAGCAGTTGCACAACTTAAAATATCTGCCTGCCCTTTAGGTTTATAAAGATTGTCCTTTGTGGCAAACACTTAGACTCAGGTCTCATGGTTGTGAGGTTCTACAAACATTGCAGCAAAAAACAGGTCTGTGTCTGACAGAGCAATGATTTCTGCTGCAGTTAAAATTGTTGCATGTAAATGAAAGCCAAAAGATTCTGCAAGAGACCAGCTAAACACCCTCAATGTTTTCAAGCTTCAGCCTACTCTAAGGTGAAGTAGAAAAGTTGTCCTGGTCTCCATTTCCTTCAAAAGAATTTGGAGACATGGAAATTGAAAGCTTCCAAAATATGACTTTCTCAATCACTTCTAAGAAGTAGAAACAGAAAGAATGGTTTAATAGGAAAGTAAAACCTTACCGTGTCTGAAATTCCTTCCAGCAATATGTTAATTGCTCTGTTCATGTCCCCATTACAATCATGTAGTGCCACTATGCACTCATCCTGGTTTTTCCCCGTCACTTCCATAAGCTGGCAGTAAGAGTCATATATTAAAATATCCAAATTATCTTCATAAGAAAACAAGAGTTAATACCACCACAGATTCCAAAAAAGTGCATAGCTACTGTGTCAGAGCAAAATAAAATACTAAATAAAGGTAAACACAAATTAAATGATAATCAAGAAAGCACTCTTTCACTTTTTTTTCCCCTTTAACATTATGCTTGGAGATTTCCTATGCAGAACTTAATTCTTATCCTTCCCACCAGCACAGCTACAGGCACTGTTGATGAGGGTACTTTGGCTTCAGGAAGTACAAGACTTCACTTCTGGCACATCAATAAAACAAGTTTATAACAACAAAAAGCACTTAATGCTTCAGAGGAGGTTTTACAAAGAAAAAGTAAAGACATTTGCTTGTCTGTTGCATGAATGCATTCAAGATAATTCTCCTTCTGGGTGTACTCCTCAGTTCTTTGTGAGTGGTGATGTGTTCACTAGGACAAAATCACCAATATCCACAGAAGAACAGGGACACAGATTCTCAATACTGCTTGAATTAATGGTCTCAGCCATAACTGGGTAAAGGAAGTTTGAGCACTTACACTCAGAAAACTCATCACGGTAGAGGAAATGGTGTGAGATTTCATTTTCATGGTGTAATTTATCATTTTAATGCATACACACATCTGGGAGGTCAGATTTTTTTTAAAATAATACCTAAATTTACCTTTAAGCTATGATTCTATGATTTTTACTTTTCCTGAAAAACAGACAGTATATTGGCAAACTCAGTTTACAAAGGTGACATTTTTCCCATGTGCATGTACATGTGGACAAGCTGAATGCACACTCTATTCTGACAATCATTAAGCATCAGGACCATACTAAAGAGATATAGTCTGGAAGAGATTAGCACAGATGAGTTTTGGCTTAAAAACCACCAAAGGAAAATACACCAGTATAACTATATAGTCATAGCTATATTGCCACACAGATTCTTGAAAACAGACTTTACAGTGCAGTAAGAGCACCTTTTTCTAGTTAAACTTCTGTCCTTATGAAGAAGGTTTCATCTAAATCAGAAACAGATGCTCTAGCTCCAAAACACAAGTCAGTTTTGTTGCAGGGCATAAAAACTCTGTACCATAAGAAACATACTTGTTTCACTTTATCTTCAAAATCTGCATCATTCTTATCATAGATCATCTGAGCAAAGCGAATCTGTTCTGCTGTTGCCTGAAAAACAAATACATCCAATAAAGTTCACAAAAATAAACTATATTTTTTAGAAGTATCTCCTAGTTATCACAGAATCACAGAGTATTCTAAGTGTGAAGGGACGCATGAGGATCACCAAAGTCCAACTCCTGGCCCTGCACAAGACACCCCAACAATCCCACCATGCGCCTGAGAGTGTTGTCCAAACGCTTCTTGAACTCAGAGAAGCTTGGTGCTGTGACCACTGCCCTGGGGAGCCTGTTCCAGTGCTCAACCACTCTCTGGGGGAAGAATATTTTTCTAATATCCAACCTAAACCTCCCCTGACACAACTTCAGGCCATTCCCTCAGGTCCTGTCACTGGTCACTAGAGAGTGTCCCTTTATTTTTTTCTCTCAAGGTTCTCAAAAAGAACATACACAATGAGCACAGAGGTGCTACAGGGAAGGGATTAATATCTCCTCTATGCCCATTTCATAGTTAAAAAGTTAGCTAAAACAGAAGTAATTTCAACATGTTCCAACATGTTGGAACCACAGTTAAAGGTCACCACATAGAGAAGACAACCACATAATGAAATCGAATTTACCACAGAAACTTGCACTTTGATATTACTTTTATTTAGTATCTACCACTGCAGAGATAGAGTTCTATCATAACAAACTGGCAATGGCATTTCTAAATTAACCATATCTGATGATGCCTGCTCACATCACCTTGTGACTCTCCCAACAACCACCTGACTGTAGTTTTATGAGCACTTAAAGAGGCTGAGTCATGCCTCAAGATTCTGCTTGTGAATGGTTGCACTTATTTTCTTTATAACTGAATACCAGTCTCTGAAAACTGCTAAAGAATCTTGCTATTGATGAAATATTTGGTGCTTCTGTGACGTTTCTGGACAACAAAGCCATGCTGGGAACTTCTCCAACAGTTGAAATACTAAAATGGATGGATGCAGTAAAGAGACATAAACCCAAATAGGCTATGGCTGCCCCAGAGGAAAAAATTCTAAAGCACTAATGTCACATCATACAGGCCACTCATCATAGTGCAGCATCTGCAGCCTACTTGAACTGCACTCCCATGAAAATACCATATGCTACATAAACCTGGACCTCATTTGATTTCTGCTCAAACAGAAGAGGCTCATGCTAGAGAAGGTTGATACTGAAGAGAGCCAGGACCCAAAATGTGAGTTGATGTGCTGTGGAAGACTTCATTATTGAGAAGGGTACCACATCATCCCCTGAAATTCTTGACAGAAAGGATTCATCCTGGGCAGTCTCACTTCACAGGATACACACATGAAATTCTGTGCCTCATGAGTTCAGACTTCATCAGTTTCAAACTGCTTCGCTTTTGGAGTTTACCACAAATGCAAGCTCTAGAGGAGGTCTCCAAGTGTAAATCCTGAGAAGAGTCTAAAAAAATTACTCCATCATACAACATCAGCTACTTATTTGCTGAGAAGTTACTGCAGCTGTCCCAGTTCCTTGAGGGAAATGATACTTGCTTTCCTCAATGTCCCAAGACAATTAGATAAGTACTTCACATTTTCAAAGTGCCATGTTGACAGCTTCCTATGTCACTCGGTAACACAGAGAGCCTGCTCTGGAGTTTCCTGTGCCAGCCCTGATGCCACCCTCCAGCAGAGAGCAAAAATAAAAGGTCTGCTGGTTTCAGAAATTAAATCCTCTTGATCCATCTTCTTGCTCTGACTTCAGCCTCCTCATGCCCACAGTAACTTTTTAGCTAGTGAAAAGATATCCAGAATAAAAACATTCAATGTAATTTCTGTAGAGACATGACAGGATATTTGACCAGAAACAGGAAACCATTAAGATTCCTTTTTCCATAAACCAATTTTTTCAAGTCCATGTTAGAAGAGAAAAATATACAAACTTTATAACACTTTTAAATGAGTAACAATATCTTTAGTTTTCCTGTGTAAGGAGAAAGCTTAGAAACACAGTCAGGTGCAGTATCACTAACATTTGTGCCAGTGGATTGCACACAGATAGAACTGAAGATTCAGAAGAAAAAAAAAAAAAACAACAAAACCCCACAAGATGTATTTACTACACAAACACCAAATCAGTGTCAAAAAAATTTGTTTGGTTTTTTTCCAGTGAGTGTTTCTTCTTTGTTTTTAAGGCACCATTGTTACAAGTGACTTCCTAGTATCCTATAAAAGAGTATAATTAAGTTTCAATTGCAACTAAGAAAATGGTAGCATTTTAAGACAGCTAAAACTTTACTCAAGTTTACAAGATAATCTTTGCAGCATAACACAGTGAAGGAAATTTTTAACAACTTCGAACTACCAGAAAACAGAAATGTGCAAAACACAAAGTGACAGTAATAGGCCCGGATCTTATAATAAAATGGTATGTTTATTATCCAGAAACAATGAAAAAGAACTGTGATGTAATTTCTTAAAAAAATTATGATCAATGTGATTATGACAATGAAATCTCCATTTGAGAAAGTAATATCATTCTACATTCAAAAAATGAATCAGTGGTAATTGAACAGTAAAATCCCACATTTTTGTTAACCTGTAAAGCATAAGGAGGGAGGTCCATCCGATATCTTAACAATAAAACTACATGGTGCGCTAAAACATAACTGCTGTATATTAAATAACCATCTTTTCCACTGAAATGACTAAACCAATATCTACTATGCTAGAGGTAGAATAAGTGGACAAAGCGCAGTAAAAGGTCTGTAAGACAATGCTTAAAATCAATAAATCACATCAGTTGACAAGGTCCCCTAGTGATACTCAGTGCAACCTCCCACTGAGAGCATGTCCCATCAGAGAAGCTGCTTGGGGCCAGACAGAGATCCCACAACCTCTCTAATCCATGCCTGTGTTCATGGTTGATATGGTTTGAAGTTGGCTCCCTGCCAAGTCTCCAAACCTTACCACAAGAAGTGTGTCCCATCCCCCCCCCCCCTTCCCCCCCCAAACCTCAGGGAGAAGAGGGAGAAAAAACAACTAAGAAAACACAAAACGAGAGAGAGACAGTTAAAGTGATATATATAAATATATTTACACTTATGTTACAATTATATACAATTGAAATATATACAATTTCACAAGGGAAAGGGAAGGGGGGAAGGGAAAAGGAACAAAACCAAAATAAAATATATATATATCCCAATTAGTAGTCCAATATCTATCCACTAAAAGAGTTAGCAAAGAAATATCTCACTACTCTCCTTGGGACAACCGAGAGTCGCTCTGGAACGATCGCTGGCAACCTCCGCCTCCCAAGGTTGACAAGGCCTTACCAGGCCTCGCTCCCCAACACAGCAGACTCAACAGCAGGGAACCTGCACCTCCAAGCCGCCGGAAGGAAAGAGAGCGAAGGCCTTTCCTCCTTTCTTCTTATAGTCTGGTTTACGTAAAAATCGTAGGGAATACTGGGTAAAATCTGGGCCCTTCCTTGGTTACAAACTGGTCACCAAGGAAGGTCTAGCCCAAACTACCACAATGGTAAACAATTTTTTTCCTTTCAACAGCTGGAATTTCCAGTGTTCAAACTTGTGCAGTTGTCTCTGAGGTTGGTTTCACCTAGTTTAACCTTTTCTATACCCTTTCATGAGGTATCTGAATAGAAGACACAACCTGGCCTTGCCTTCTTAGGGATGACCAAATCCAGTTCCCTCAGCCACCACTCATTCATCCTGTGCTCCAGCCTCTCAACCATCTTCACAGCTCCTCACTGGACTTGCTCCCATTTGCCAATGTCTGCCTTGTGCCAGGGAACCCAAAACTGGACAGAGTACTCCACTGCTGTCTTGCAAACATCAAAAAAGGAGAACCCATCACTTCTGTCAATCTGCTCGTTATACCTCCTGCAGACTTACTTGTTATAAAGCAAAAACAAATTCAACTTCATCTATTGAAAGTCACTTTCTAAACCCACACATTAGCATGAATCATCACTATGCAAAGCACTGTAACACAAGGAGATAAGGGCTTGAGGTCACATAATATTGTACAAAACAGAAGAGTCCCTTAATGTTAAAGATCAGTCTAGAAAACAATAAGACGATTTCCCAGGGGAGCACCTCTAGATTGAGAACTGAGGCAATTCTTGAGGGGAGACCTCATCACAGTCTACAACTTCCTCATGAGGGGAAGAGGGGGGCAGGCACTGATCTCTTCTCTGTGGTGACCAGTGACAGGACCCAAGGGAATGGTCTGAAGTTGTGTCAGGGGAGGTTTAGGTTGGATATTAGAAAAAGGTTCTTCACCCAGAGGGTGGTTGGGTGCTGGAACAGGCTCCCCAGGGAAGCGGTCACAGCCCAAAACCTGCCAGAACTCAAGGAGCGTTTGGACAATGCTCTCAGGCACACTGTGCAGGGCCAGGAGTTGAACTTTGATGATCCTTGTGGGTCCTTTCCAACTCGGCATGTTCTGTGATTCTGTGTGAATTGAATATAAATTTGAGAAGTACCTAACAAGAGAATAATGAGTTGCCAGGAGCAGAGACATTTTGCACTCTGTAACACAGGCAAGCACACAACTTTGCTGCTGAGAACCAAGACAATGGAGTAAGAGCTTAATTTCAATCTCTCAGATATTCAAAATAATTTCAGTCTGCTAGTGAAAACCCATCTTCATTTCACTTTGTGAAGGCACTGCACAAGAAGTTTAGGATTTTGTGATTTGCAAATATGCTGCATCATGCTATAGAACACAACATGCATCTAACAAAACTTTTCCCGCCCACCCGAATTCCTTAATTGACCAGAAATCTTCTAGCATCATGAAGCTGGCATATGAAAGAGCTGAGCTCTAAAGACACTAAGGTCACAGGACAGAAATCCTGACAGGGACAGGCATAGAATTCCTCACTATCAATAAATGTTGCTGAAGAACGCAAAGCTCCTCCAGAGACAATTAAAGCAAGATATCAAACATAGTCTTCCAAATTAGACCGTGATATCCCCCCCACCTTTTCTCAGTTTTTACTGACTTACAGAAGAAAAGCATATCATTGCATGCTCACTTTAAACTCAAAGAAGATTATATGGTAGCACATACCTGTACTACTTGTTTCTGTGGTTGTGTTGGCTGTGTGGTTGAAATTTGCATTTTGTCCCGAGTGCCCCGGGTACGTTCACTGCTCACCGAAGTCATCATATACAGTATATACAAAACAATGTATGTACAAAATAGAAAATCTGAAAGGAAAAAAAAAGAGTTAAGGCAGGGTACTGATTTGATACCCATATAACATACAAATGTAGTAGCTTGAACTCTTCCTGCCTTTACCACAAACTCTATACAAAGACTCCTGAGAAAGTAGCTTTAATACACTATTATTGAATTTATTGAAATCTTTACAGTAAAGGAGGAAATAAAGTAAATAAAAAGCATTTTTGTCAGCTGACTGGGATCTGTCTAGATCTCTACTTCCAGACAACATCAAAATCTCACAGGTTTTCCCAGTTATTTAACATATAGACTTTTCTATCTGTTACTCGACTGAAATTCTAGCTCCAGCTGTATCACTCCTTAAATTTCTTTAATGTCTGCTGTCTTGTTTTGATGCCTGGAATTTAACCACTCTCATACCCACTCAGAATGCTAACACAGAAGTCACATTCATAAACTAGGCTGTTCCTTTCTTGTCTATCATTAAACTGTTTTCCTGCACATAAACATGAGGTCATGGTCAATGCCCACTCTACTTCTTACCTCTCATTTATAAGAGAAATTATGATCCTGAATTAGAGAACTATACCTCTATGTATTGGGTCTGGTTGAGTTGCAGTTCATTTCCCCACAGTAGCCCGCACAGTGCTGTGTTTTGCATTGGCAGTTAGAAGGGTGCTGATAACACACCGGTGTTTTGGCTACTGCTGAGCACAGCATCAGCACTGTAACATTCCTTCCTTAGCTAAGGGCAAGATCCTGAGAGGGGACCCAAGTAGGCCAGCTGACCCAAACTGACCAAAGGGATGTTCCAGACCATAGGACGTCAGCTCAGATATAAAAGTTGAGGCAAGGAGCAGGAAGGTGGGCATTCATTGTCTAATGGTTGCCTGCTGAGAAACCTTCCCAAGCCCTGCTTCTCGGGAGTGGCCGACCATCACTGCTCATGGGAAGTAGAGAATAAACCCTGCTATCTTTCACTTCTGTGAGCGCAAGCTTCACTTTGCTTTTTGCTTTAAATAAACTGTCTCATCTCAACCCACGAGTTGTTTTCTTTTTTCCCACCTTGCTTTCTCTCCCCTGTCCCTCTGGGGAGTGATAGAGTGGCTGGGTGGGCACCTGGTATCCAGCCAAGGTCAACCCACCACACTCAACCCAAACTAGCTTAGGAATTTAGCGGTCTCTGACATTTGTAAGGAGTTGTATCCTAATCAACTAAGGAATTTATGTTTTCCTGGACTTTGCCATTTTGATTAGTTTAGTGTCAGTAAATGAAGATAAAAAACTCGAGTTAATTGAAAAATGTTGAGTGGTGCACCTAGAGGAAATTAACTCAAGAAGGTCTGCACACTCCAGAAAGCTTAATCAATAGAAAGTTTTTTGCTAAGAAGCAAATTCAGTAAAGAATTGTTTAAATAGAGAAGAGACTTAGATTAACTAGTGATGAATGTAAGCATCTTAGTGATAGCTAGAACAATCAGATACGAGGCTAGAGGTCAGCAAAATTAATCACACATGCTAGGGAACCTGCCAATGTGGGCCAGGTCACTCAAAGGACACGAGGAAGACTTCGACGATGAGGAAGTCAGAAGCCCCCTTTCGAGCCCCCTCCTCACATTCTTGCCAGAAAAAGGATGCTAGACGGCAGTCTTGCTCCATGAAAGAACATCAAGATGAAACCAGAGAATGGGTTTATGATGTAATGGGGTGGGTGGATCTTTGGAAGGAAGTTTCAGATGTTACAATGTATTTAAATCCTGGAAAACTGTATCAAAATGGGCACGTATAGTGAATTATTCCTCATGACTCCCAGCATGCTGCATTAAAGGAATGTCCAATTCAATGACACTTTGTCGTTGGATTTGATTACTGTGTTTCATTCCTTACCTTTAAATACAGTCTCTGAAGCCAATATTTTTATGTTCTCGCTCATGCTTAAAGAAATTATTTACAAAACTATCTATTACCCTGCTTTAAACATACCTTGGTTGTATGGCAACAAAGAAAACAAGAAAAACCACACCCTTGCACACCAGTACTATCCCATTTGTGGCAGTCAGTTTTCATTCTCATTCATCCTCTACCATTAATTTGAAACAAGAAATTTATTATTTCTCCTGTGTTTTCACAACATCTAAACTGATGCCTTAAGCCCCTAATGTTTTTTTATTTCTTTTAATATTTGTAAGACTTGTAAGTTTTATAAGCAGTGAAAGTAGAAACCCTCTCTTCTTTGCCCTTGTTCCTTTCCCTTTTCCCTGTAGCACCCTTGTTTACACATTCCTTAACCCTCTTACCCCATTCTATGCTCCCCATATCAACCCTACTCCTGAATCCAATAGAAATGTTTAGTCTTTTGTCAAGGTTAGGCCTAGACAGTTGACAGAACAGCATATCTGGGCCTAAACCACAGAATGAAGTCAAGAATTAGATAACTATGTACCCTTTGTGCTCTGATGATGATGAAGATGGGATGAATGGAGGGTCCCGAAATGCACCCCAGACTCATTTTCAGGGGGTGGACCCCGGGGCGGTCCAGAGGAAAGGCCACAGGGTGGATACATCTGGGATTGGATGGATGATGTTATAAAATGTAACCTCTCGGGCACAGGGGCACGCGCGCGTCTGGTAACATCTTAGCCTTGGCAAATAAAACCCTTTCTTATCTCACCCCTAATTAACTGCTCCGGAGATTTTTTCAGCACCTAAATCCCACGGCAACAAAACCAAGGTTAATTGACAAGCATGGTTTATAGTAGTAATGATAATTGGAAAGAGATCTCTCGACTGGTCAAAACAGTCACGTCAACTGCCTGCTTTCTGTCCCATGACGCTGGGAAGTAAAACCTGCAAATTTAGGGAACTAAGGACAACCTACAAGTGGTGTACCTGGGCAGAAGGAGCTGTGCAAACAAGCAGCAAAGTGCTTTTACTGCATCCCTGTGGTTTATTAATGTAATATAATAAAGCACGACTCAGCAGCTCAGATGGTAAGCAGTCAAACTTGTTATTTAAAGGAAAATGCCACCTTATATACCCTTCAGGGAGTATTTGATTTGCCTAGACCCAATCACAGTAGAACACATTGTCCATGTGTGTCAGTGTACTTCTGGAGACTACAAGACCCAGAATGCTTCACCCTGCATCCCTGGGGTACACCTCCTACACAGTCTAGATGTATGAACATGCCTCAGCACAAAACTTGTCAGGGCAGAAGCTTTGGTGCAAGCTGGCTAGCACCGAATTTGGTGCACAATAATGCTCATATGAAAACTGAGCACACTGCTGTGATTGTATGGACAAGGATGTGTTCAATACCCAATTGCTCACTAGCATTCACAAGGAACGAGCCATCATCATCATGGCCAGGCTTCCCGAACGAAGATTTGAGAAGGATTCTATCCACACTTGCTACAAGCACGCGGATGGCTAAAAAGGCCAATGCGAGACAGACAAGTCCGGTTGCAAAAGGCACAGTGGAGTCTCCTTAGGCGGTATTGGCAAGACATGGTTCTTTCTGCATTGCCTTTTCTCCTCAAGAATGATTCTGCGTGTGTTGTCAAAAGAAGCAGCAGCATTATGTACAGTGTGTCTCCATGTCTCCCGATTAGAGGCCAGAGTAGACCAATGATGGTGATCAGTGTGGTCAAAGCTGAGATATTGTTTCAGGGAGTCCTTGTATCTCCTCTTCGGGGCTCCTCTCTTCTGGCAGCCAGTGGCAAGTTCACCACAGAGTACGATCTTAGGAAGGCAGTAGTCCTTCATCCTTGAGACGTGTCCTGCCCAACGCAGCTGTGTTCTCAGCAACATGGTCTCAATACTCATAACCGCTGTCTATTCAAGAATAGACGCATTAGTCACGTAATCAGTCCAGTGGATGTTTAGGATTGTACGGAGGCAGAGCTGATGGAAGTGTTCTAAGAGTTGCAAGTGGTGGTGGTAAACGACCCATGATTCAGACCCATATAAAAGAGTAGACAGTACGATGGCTCTGTCAACACTAATCTTGGTACTTTTCTTCAGGTGTTTATTACACCAAACTCTTTTATGAAGCTTTCCGAAAGCTCTATATGCCTTTGCTAACCTGTTGTCTATCTCTTTGTCAATCTTACTGTCCGAGGAGATGATGCTTCCCAGATAATTAAACTGTTGGACTGACTTGAGATCTGATTTGCCAATGATGATGTGGGAATGATGGAAGGTTTCCTGAGGTGCAGGTTGGTAGAAAACTTCTGTCTTCTTCAAGTTGACTTCCAGACCAAAAAGCTCAGCAGCCTCTGCAAAGCAGGATGTTAAACGCTGCAGAGTTGCTTCTGTGTGGGCCACATATCAGTCATCAGCATAAAGCAGTTCCTGGACAAGATGGTTTAAAGTCTTAGTATGGGCCTTCAGTCGCCTTAGGTTGAATAGGCTTCCATCGGTTTGATATCGGATGTAGATACCGTCTTCTTCATTGAGGTCTGCCGTGGTCCTTTGGAGTATCATGCTGAAGAAGATTGTGAATAGAGTTGGTGCAAGAACGCAACCTTGTTTCACACCACTGGTTATTAGAAAGGGCTCAGAAAGTGCGTTGCCATATCTGACTTGGCCGTGCTGATCCTCATGGAGTGAGATGATCATTTTGAGGAACTTGGGGGGACATCCTAATCGTTCCAAAATCTGCCACAGACCTTTTCTGCTCACAGTGTCAAAAGCTTTGGTGAAATCAACAAAAGTTACATTGTCCTTTATTCTGTTCCCTACACTTCTCTTGCAGTTGACTGAGGTGCTCCTATTGGCTCTGAAACCACATTGGCTTTCAGGTAGAATTCCTTCTGTGATAGCAGGTATTAATCTGTTCAAAAGTATTCTTGCAAGGATTTTACCAGCAATGGAGAGCAGAGTAATACCTCGGTAGTTTGAACAGTCTGATTTAACTCCTTTCTTCTTATACAAGGTGGTGATGACTGCGTCATGAAGGTCTGATGGTAGTTCGCCTAGTTCCC